CTAACATCATCACTACAACACAACACTAACATCATCACTACAACACATCACTAACATCATCACTACAACACAACACTAACATCATCACTACAACACATCACTAACATCATCACTACAACACAACATTAACATCATCACTACAACACAACACTAACATCATCACTACAACACAACACTAACATCACCACTACAACACAACACTAACATCATCGCTACAACACAACACTAACATCACTACAACACAATACTAACATCATCACTACAACACAACACTAACATCATCACTACAACACAACACTAACATCATCACTACAACACAACACTAACATCACCACTACAACACAACACTAACATCATCACTACAACACAACACTAACATCATCACTACAACACAACACTAACATCATCACTACAACACAACACTAACATCACCACTACAACACAACATTAACATCACTTTAAGCCAACACTAACATCATCACTACAACACAACACTAACATCACTTTAAGCACAACACAACATTAACATCATCACTACAACACAACATTAACATCACTTTACCAACACTAACATCATCACCACAACACAACACTAACATCATCACTTTGCCAAATACCAACATCATCACTACAACACAACAATAACATCACTTTAAGCCAACACTAACATCACTACAACACATCACTAACATCATCACTACAACACAACACTAACATCACCTAAAGCCAACACTAACATCACTTTTAGCCAACACTAACATCATCACTACAACACAACAATAACATCACTTTAAGCCAACATTAACATCATCACTACAACACAACAATAACATCACTTTAAGCCAACACTAACATCATCACTACAAAACACTAACATCACTACAACACATCACTAACATCATCACTACAACACAACACTAACATCACTTTAAGCCAACACTAACATCATCACTACAACACAATAATAACATCACTTTAAGCCAACACTAACATCATCACTACAAAATACTAACATCACTACAACACAACACTAACATCACTACAACACAACACTAACATCACTACAACACATCACTAACATCATCACTACAACACAACAATAACATCACTTTAAGCCAACACTAACATCATCACTACAAAATACTAACATCCCTACAATACAACACTAACATTACTTTAACAGAGCCTCTTACTATATTTTTTGACATCTCACTAATTCTTGTTTACTACTGTACAGTAATTTAAGACATCACTGATGAAAACTTTGAATAAAATGGCAAATACGCAACCTGAACAACGATTCAACGGCAAGAAGGAATTCCTTAAATTCCTTGAAGAAAAAGTAATTTTCACCGGTATTTCGACACAATTGATCTTACGGGAAGATTTAGTCCGCGAGTATAAGAAGTACTGTGATGGCCAAGGCATCTCCCCGGCTTCAGTTGTTAATATTGGACGGTTAATGTCCAAGTTAGGTGCGAAATGCAATGTGCGTGTGGGGGGCTGCAACGGCGTCGGCCAGAAGTATGCCTTCCCAGGCGTCGTCTTTCAGCCTTGTGTGGAAGTCCTTGCAACGTGCTCGTTGCAAGCTGTAAAAAGCAAGTCGGTGGATATTCCCTCAAACCAAAATACTTCTGTCAACAGAAAACGCAAATCAGACATGGAAAACGTCGAGCAGCCAAAACGAGTTAAAACGTCAACTGAAAAAAAGGAAGACTTTTCGTCATTTTTCGAGAAGTTTCTCTCTCCTTCATACGACAGTAACGACATAGTAGGTCGACACGACCTATTTCAAGAATATAACACGTACTGTCAACAAAATGGGCTTCAGGAGATACACAAGTTCCAGATCGGACGGTTGATGGCCACCCGAGGTCTGGAGCTCATCACGAGGGTTGGACCAGAAAATAAGCGACTGTATTATTATAAATGCTTAAGATGGACTGACAGCGGAATGTGTAATGATGTTCCTGAACCACCAGGACCCTGCAAAACATTCCACCACCATGTGAAACTTGACCAGATCTCACCTGTCCAGATCGAGGTCGAACCCGACATATTCGAGGTCGAACCCGACCTGGTCGAGGTCGAACTCAAGCAGGACTTATACGACCTGTCTCAATTCATAGCGAACCTGGCCATGATCTCACCCGACCAACACACACCCAACGTGGCCAAGGTCGAACCCGGCCAGGATGAGGTCGAACCCAACCAGTACTTATACGACCTGTCTCAATTCATAGCGAACCTGGCCTGATCTCACCCGACCAACACACACCCAACATGGCCAAGGTCAAACCCGGCCAAAATACACCTAACTTGGCCAAGGTCACACCAGAAGAAACGCCCCAAAGATTTGACCTCAATCTGGATGAAATCTTAAGCCAAAAGTGGCAACAGGAATATGATTGGGGGGATCTCTGATTCTCCAAAATAAAAATTTTCATTTATTATTAAATACTTTAATTTTCCTTATAAACAGCACAATTGTCAGTCATTTTTTTTCTTTTTCAGCGTAACTCACAAATACATAATTTATAATAAAAACTGTTGCCCAGACAATGAGTCAAAACTATATACAATATTGTTTCTCTTACCATTGACAACACAACATACATACAGGCACAGCACAGAATATATGGTTTCTCACTCTTGATCTTTTTTTTTTATTTCTTTATGGTTCTTTATTATTATGATTTATTATTATTACCTTATTATTATTATTATTGTTATTATTATTATCATTATCATTATCATTATCATCATCATTATCATCATCATTATCATTATACCCCCCCCTCCCCCCCGCCCTCATCTCAGGAATTTTCTGGGTACCGTGAGTTCTGCTATAACGTGTGTTTTGACAACGCAAATTGGCTCTTACGCGATTTATGAATAGAGGAACGATATTTGTATAACGCGAACACTTGTTTGCTGTAACGCGATTTTTGCTTAATATTTCTCCAATTTTGTGGTATTAACTGTGAATAGGGTAAAGAAGAATATCTCCAAGAAGCGTTCTGGTGATCGCATTCCCGGTGATGATCGTAAAAGAAAGGCTATAACCCTTGAAGAGAAGCTCGATGTTATCTACGTCAAAATGATCCTTCTCCCCCATCAAGTTACATTCATATTTTTTCAAGGTAAAGTGTTACATTTACTGTATGATTTCATAATTAGATATGAATGTAACATTTATTTAGACTGTGCTATCCTTTGTGTTAGGCTAACTACTAAATTTTTTTCGATTTCGAGTAGTAATCTGCACCTAACCCTATTTTCTCCATAAGCGCTGTTATTTCTATTACGCGAATTTCTATAACACGATGTTTTACAAGAACACAACTATCGCGTTATAGCAGAACTGATTGTACCTGTATTACTGTAGGGTATCTTAATTTTTATTTACAATTAAGTGGGTTATACTTTGTGAATATTGAATAGAGGTGTTAAAATATCAATTGTGGATAAGCAGTGTTGCTAATATCTAGGTATTCCTGTATGCAACAATACATGTACAGTACAATACAGTACAGTAGTGAGGACTGCCCCTACTGGTTCTTCACTAGGATGAATTTCTGCCACTGTCTTAAGAAGGGATTTAATCAGTCAACAACATCAATATCACATCTAGAAAAAAACGATGCCATAGACTTTTATTGAATATAATCTTGGCAGTAAGTTGCTCTGATTGTTGGCAACCCTTTGTACAGTTGGGTATAAAAATCTGTAAGCTAAATGTGTAAATATTGATGAATTATAGAAATATGTGCCAAAGCTTCTGGTCTGAACCTATCATAACTTTAACAGTTTTTCACCACTTGTAATGAGGTACAGTAGTGGAAGCTATGAACCACTTAGGTACAGGATCATCTCCGTTCTGAATAAAATTGTCTGGTATTATCCAAAAGTGGCCTGTCTATCGTGAAAAAGTCAAGTGTATGCAACCTTCCACCAGTAAAGTCAAAAGGTTCACTGATATTTTATTCTGGATAAAACAGACCTTTTCACACTGCAATATTATTTAACCATTCAAAGTCTTGAATAGAGGCAGGTTGAGATGGTTTGGGCAAGTGAAGAGAATGGATGAGACCAATTGAGTCAAGAGATGCATAAGCCTAAATGTGGAGGGGAGGGGAGCCAGAGGTGGATCAAGAATGGAAAATGGCCATAAAAGTTATGATGTACACAACCATATCAAGTATGACCAATAATGGTATTGGTAAACATAATGTGCTTCCTCTTCACAACACTACATCTAGCACTATCACTTGATGCTTTACGTGAATTCAATATACAGTACAGTACTGTACATAGATTATCTCTTAAAAATTTTAGTTCAATCAGCAGACAACTGACATTTTCACCATAACAAATGTACTGTACGGTATTATGAAATCCAAATTAATAATACACTGTGTATGATAAACCATCTCCATCCATATGGAAAAATAAGAATGGAAAGTTATTCCTTTAAGTCAACCATTACTGCTTTCTGGAAACAACTCAGAACTTGGAGATAAAAATGTCGCCTAATTAATTGCTCAAAAAAATTATTTTCTGGCCTATCTCCTGAATTTCGATTGGCACCAACATACATGGGCCACTCCTCTTCTCTCTAGGGACTCGGATATCTAGCAAACTCCCAAATAATTCATTAGCATTTACAATCAAAGTAACTGCAGTTTAGTGCATGTTGATTTCAGTCAATTATTACTCTCAAAGCTTCACTCCATTAAAACTGTGTACTGTGCTTTTTTATTTCCAGACACAAAAGTTGCCTTTTGGCAATTCAAGATATCTAGACACTATGCTCACTAGTAAGTACATGTACTGTAATAAACACTATTGGCCCTTCTTCCAGAAATATTTAAACATCTTAGATTTTATTCGGTACCTGACTATGATGCTGTTATTCTAAATGTTTTTATTACCAGTAATTCATGCACCAGTACCTCCCTGCAGATTAATCTGGCTTTAATTCTTTCATTACATTTCAGATTTTGTAAGCTACTATACACTGCCCTCAACAGTTATGCATCATCCAACATACAAGTCATTGAAAGCTGCTTACTCTTTTTACAATGTTTCCTCTGCCACACCCTGGAAGGTCTTGATGAAGGATGCTTTGGTCACGGCAAAGAATGTAAGTAAAATTCTGAACCTTTCCACAGAAATTTACTGATATTCCAGTATTTTACTGCAGTTTATAAATGTTATTGTATATGGTAAGTCATTTTTTTTCTTTCTTTTTAGATAACATTGGTTTGCCACAAGGACATGATCACTCCCACATCGGGGCCTAGGGGGCAAAAATGTAATAATAATGATAATAAAGAACCATAAAGAATATACAAAAATGAAAAAAAAAATCAAAGAGTGAGAAACAATATACTGTATGTATGTTGTGTTGTCAAAGTAAGAGAAACAATTGAGACCCTGCAATTGTGTTTAAATGAGGCAGAAAGTCAGATCAGCAACCTGGGACTTGGTCACAATTTTCGTGATGCCATATCGCAGCAGGGTCTACCGTTAGACAATACATTATGCTTTCAATATCTTCCCCAGGCAGTAGTACCTCTCTGTTTGGTAGCTGCCTACTACCTGCAATGGGCTGTCCACCCTAGGAGGTGTGTAAGAACAAATGCTTATGTAGCTGTATGCTCAATAATCTGGGTGGTAGAATGTATATAATGAATATATGTCATTAGCTCATGATTATATAATATTAATGTGACAGAGGCTAATACAATTGTACTATTCCAGAGGTTACTACATGTTACATAATACTTCCTTGAGATAAATGTATAGTATATATCAGGTGCCTACAGGAGAGCTTAGGTTCTCAACTGGCTCAGCCATGTTAATATTGTTATCCACTCTGTATCTGTGTTTTTCTGGCTAAATAAACTGTTTTAATTCAATTCAGTACCTGACCCAGGGTGCCAAATTACTTAGCAAACTAAGTGCTAAAAGAACATTATCATATTTAAATTAACTATGATTCTTTAATATCAAAACAGAATATTAATATTAAAAATTATAGAATTTTTCAGTATGTGGGAGGTTTTCAAAAAAGTCTTTCAAGCTTTCAAGTTTGGAGTAAATTTTTTAAGATCAAGCCAAAAAAAAATTTCAAGCAATGGCCCCATTGGTTGCTCTCTGGTCATCGTCCTCAACACACAAACAAGCACCCAAGCAGTTCAACAATCGAACTCTAATACTTCTAATTCTCAATAAGGACTAGAAGAGGATGTCATTGTTGTGTTTAATAAATTCACAAAGCAATTTACCCAGTCAAGTTTTACATTATTTGACATAATAGGTTAGATCACTGTTAAATAATCCTGACATATTCTTTACAATACAGAGGACACAGTGGAGAGTGTGTGTCATGGTGGCTGAAGCTTGCAACAATAATATCAGATTCCTTCAAGCTGTATTGTCCCTCAGTGGAAGTCAGTATATTAACCCATCGCTGGTCGTGGTACCAGACCCCTCATGCTCACCCCCTGGTTACAAAAGATCAATTTTTCAAAACCCATTGTAGATGTGTCCTAAATCACCCACAAAACAAGGGAAAAATTTGTGAACAAATTCTTAAGTCAATTTAAAGGTCCCATGGGATGATATATCACCCAGATGGGTCTGCCTGCCATGTGCTTGCTGGCCTGTCAAGGACGTCTATCCCACTGTACTCACACACCCTCACTTCCCACCTCCATATTTCTATAGCTAGTTCTTTTTTATCTTACATGGTGGGTGTATGTAAAAAACAAATTCTTCACATGAACTTTTATTTATTGACATGTGGCAGTGTCGAAACAACTGTGTGAGGTGCAGACAAGTACAAAACAAATGCCATCTATGGATAAACAATGCCTACACATATTCATTGTTTCTTTTAACTCATGAATTTTAGTAATCATAGCCTCGGAAAACCCCTTCCAAAATGGATAAAATGTCCATTTCAAAGATATATTCCTTAAGAAAGAAAAACAAAATGGGAACTGTTAATGTAAGGTAATTTAAGATATAAGGCTGGGTCATATTCATTAACACTGACAAAGAAGCCACCACTGAGGTGCACCTAATATACCAGGGAAAATGGTATATGTACAGTATCTTTAGTGTTGATACATTTCAGAGTATTTTATATTTGTGATTTATAAAATGAATTTGGCAGATAAATAAAAAATGTGTAGGGTATATAAGAATTTAAATGTAGTGTGGATCGTCCTTGTGATTGATTTTCTTTTTTCAGTCTGACTATGATGTGTTCAATGCATTGGACTTAATGGAGAATTCAGAATTCCTTGAAGAGTTGAAGTTTGGCCAAGGTGATGGCAACCTACAGTATTACCTCTACAACTGGCGGTGTCCTAAGATGGTGCCTCAGAAGGTGAGTGAAGAGCAATTGACTCATTCTTGGCTAGAAGGTCTCTGCATTACTTTTGCCTGAAAATTTAAATCTGACAGTCTATTTGTTGTCATGAAGAATATGTTTATGTGTGGATATTGAGGACATCATTCATATATTGGTTGTACTGTACTTGTTATTTAAGTGAATTCTGGAAAAAAAAAAACACTTTTGTAGAGAGAAAAAGAGTTTTGAGTTTATACTTTGAATAAAAATGCCCTTAACATGTTTATTGATGGCCAGACTTTTGCTTCCTTTTCTTTCTTGCTCAGTTTCATATGATTGGATGGTTTTGTAGAATGAAGCTGCAGTGAATGTTTAAGTGATTTCCTTGGAGTCATTCACTTCCTCTGGTTGAGTACTCCATATCCTCATTCCTCGTAAATACTTAGGGAAAAGATGAGGCACTTGATGGTCCAATAGACTTGGCCTTAGGAATTGAGGTTTTACTTAGGAGTACAAATTTTCCGGAGTTTAACCCCTAACGAGCGGGCAACTGAAATTATGTGCAATTTTTTATTCATTTTTTCCAAGTCTTCCTTTTTTCTTTCTTTTTTTTTTAACAAAGTACGTAGTAGAAAATCAAGCATAATGATATATTATGGCAATAAAGGAAAAGTATTTATTTCCTTATTAGTGCCTGGTAGGAAAATATATATGTCGCGCCATGTGTGGAGGAGGTGCATGGGGTTGGTGGACTAGAATTAGTGGGTGGCCTGGTTATCATGCAGTGTTGGCTGGGTTTGTGTGTGTCAAGGAAGCACGAGTGCTTTGTTTGAAGGAACGAAAATTATATTTTTCCGGGTATTCTTGAATTAACACGTAATGTCGTCCATGGTATTGTATAATAATTTAGACCAACTTTTACTTACTGTCTATGCTATTTATGGTACACCAATATTTGTAAAAACAATTTACTCTACTAGAACCTGAAATATTATTTATATTTTTTTCTTACAACTCCGTACACAGCTCCCCCCTAGCAGGCACCACCTTGTCGTGATGGGGGAGCCTGTGGTGAGCCATACCAGAGGGGAGGAGGGTTCCCTCCATCCCCAGTTAGGGGTCAGGGCTACCTATCACAAGTGAGGGATGAGACTCATGTGGGGGAAAAGTGACCATACCAACCCTCCCTCCCCCACCATGCCCTGCCTCTACCACTCTCTCCTCCTCCTTCCACCTCCTATCTATATCCTCCATAAAAACAAGAATAAGAGATATGAGAAATTCTGTAAAAAAATAAAAAAAATAAAACAATTAGAGATAAGAAACATTGTCTTGGAAAAAAGTAAATTTCCCCTTTTTCTCGTGTAATATCAGGTCACCCATTGTATATAAATCTCTCTCATTTGTGGTTAAGGTGGGTTGATTGATTAGTGGTCTCATATTACTAATCTTCTGATACATTGTCAGGTCAACCATTGTTGGTGTGGGGAATTAGTGGGTCTCATAAACTGAAGATGTCTTTAATAAAGACAAAAGTAATATACATTACACCGCACACTCGTCAATTCGGATTTCGGCTTAATTTTTTTTTTATGAATACAGTAATTCCGTGTTTTTCGCGGGAATTAAGTTCCTGAAACCCCTGTGAAAAGCCAAAACCGGAAATACTCTTTTAGGAATCACTGTACCTGTGGCCACCAAACAGCTCAGGTAGGTCATGCACTTAACCACGCCATGCTTTCCACTCACGGGCCAGTGGTCACACTGATCACTGATGCACTTTACCGGCATTTACTAACATCATTATTTGAAACTAATCATATCGTAGTACAATAATGGAAAAAAATAAACACAGTTAGATTGAAAAAATGTTTATCTACAAGTAATTAAAAAACTTTATCTTTCGCTGAGGTCGGCAACACCCGCATTGCCAGCCTCTCCCTGCTGTCCTGGCATCTGTCCGCCCTCACGCAGTCACGCCAGCCAGCCAGCCAGTCCTCTCACTCCCACATTCCTCCACTTGAAGACTTGTATTCTGACAAAAGACAAATAAATTGTCAGTCTTCACCACATCTTGAGCCATAGCTCATACCACCTCGGAGCTTGTCCAATAAAACTATTTTTTCCGTTAAGGTCATCACTATTCTTGATCTTTTGGTCACTTTAGAGTCTTTGCTAGTAATATTTGCCTTTGATGAGGCTGGCTTACGTCCCGGAGCCATGTGGAATGCACGTGGGAGGACAAACAGAAGAGGTAATCACAGTAGTGTTCACAGTACGGTAGGCTGCTTCTCGGAGCGGCGGGTGTTTGAGGCGGGAAAGAGTGGCGTCTGTTTGTCGCACCTCACGGGAATATCGAAAATGGCGCAAAATTTAAATTTTTGTTTTTAAAGGATATTTTGTATACAGTCTCTCCTCGACTTACGGCGAGGTTCCGTCCCAACTACCAGGTCATAAGTTGAAAAGGCGAAAATAATACATAAAAACTCTTAAATGGGTGTCTCTTTTTCTTCTCAGCACCACGAGAACTCTCACTTTTAAGCTTGCCAGCCATTTTAAAGGAAATTAAAAAAAAAAAAATTGTCGGTATACAGCACGATCACTAATGTCAGGACTCGAAAATACGTAATGTGAAAAATATTTTATACGACCATGGCCGTCGTATGTCTGGGTTGTCGTAAGTTGAGGAGAGACTGTGTATAACATTTACTGTATTAGTAAAAAAAAAAAAAACGCGAATGATGAAAAACACGTGATTACTGTAATTAATTTGTATCTGGAATGAATCTGAAATATCTCCCTCACACAGACTTCATTCCTACTCTTCATTTGTTTTGAATTTTATAGTGTTATATTTTTTTATTTCTAAATAACATTAGGGCATTGAAATGATATTTCCACAACTTCCATATTTTCCTATGTAGATAAACACTGTAGTAGTCATTGTCCAGCCTAAAATTATTAATTTCTTACATCCAAATTAAAAAAGAGATATAATGTAGTAGTAATTGGGGTACCCGTGAATTTAAGAAAACAAATTTGTATTTCACAAATTATCACAACTCCATGACAGTTGAAAGTGAGTGTTTCCCCCGATCAGAGGAAATACCTGTAAATGTATACTATACTTCCCCACAACTTTGTCGTGAGTGTGAAAACTGTTTTATGAAAAATAATTAGACTTTGTACATTTATTTTCATAACTTTTAATTCTTACAAAGGCAGCCTAAAACTTAGTTTTTGAAGAAGAATCTTCGGTGGTATTATTTTTTATTATTAGCAAAATAATGCATAGTAAATGACAATAATTTTTTTTTATTTTTCAGGTTGGCTTGGTGCTACAGTAATGCAAGTGGCTTATATTTATAGCACTATTAACTCAGTATGGTAAACTGCAGAAGAGCACTGTAAAATTGCATTGAGTGCTGCATAAAAGAGTACTACACTTCACTTTTGCATGGAAGTTTCCTCCAAGTTTATTATTGCCACTGTGAATACACTAGTTTCTGTATACAGTACCTCTCTAGCTATATGCTCTCTTCCAGGTAGCTCTCATTACTGAGTTGCCTCTTTTGGTGGTGCAATTCAACAGTCATGTTTTCCTTCACATCCATCACTCTCAGAAGAGAAAGATAAAGTGCACAGGTTGCCCTTATGGGGTACAACATCTAGCTGTGTACATGCCTACCTTATCGGTACACACATTCTGCAAGCCAATCTGCCATTTGGCCTTAAAACTCAGTTGCCAACCATCAAGAGTGGTCTCTGCTTGGCTGCTGACTAAAGCAAAGTATCTGCTCCAACATGGCACTTCAGGAATAGTTGTTTGGGTCAGTACCACAGTTTAAGGCATTATCATAAAGGTGAGACTGACTTTTTGTCACTTATTTAATTTTGTAACATTGTTAACAAATTAGTGTGACCCTCTCTCTGTCTGAGCTGACGTGCTAGGACTAGTTAGCATTAACACTGGTCTCTCTGTTGCCTGGGTGACGTTAGTAGACAGTATGACACTCTTCTTGTATTAGAGCAATTGTTGATTACTGGTTTCAGGACAGCTATTACCCACCTGTGATATACAGAGAAAGTGAGACAATCCCTTTAAGGGTTTAAGTAGTAATACATATAAAATTCCCTACCTCACATATACCAGGGAATTTTAATTTGTGAACTAATATGGACTAGTCCCATTGGGTCTTAGTGGTGATCAGGACTAATGTTTTTAGATATTTTTAGCCAGTAGAGCCTTGGTGTTCATGTTGGACATTGATCTTCCTACCAAGACATGATTTTTCTCTTCACCTGAAGTTTTGAGATTCACTTAAGTATTTTACCATTGGGCCAAGTGAGAAACATTCATCAACCATACAAAGTTGAGAGCACAAACTCATTCAGTCAGTGATTTTACAAAAAGTTTTCATCTGGTTAGTAAATGGTTGGGTAATCTCCAGGAACACCAAAGGATATTTGACGTCTTGTAACTCATTTCTTCCTTTACCTGCTTAGACTTGATGTTCTGTTTTTTGTTTATTTATCTCTTGCTTTAGAGAAGATGTAGTCAAAGGTGGAGCTGTGTGAGGAAGGTGAGGGGTTAAGGTGCTCCTTTGATTTCTCAGATGATTTAAAAAGATCTTCGTGGAAAATGAGAACCCTTTCTTGCCATTTGGTTTTGGATTACCAGACTAGGCTACAGTACAGTACTGTAATGAAGTAGGTAATCTGACTGGAAGAGGAAGGTTCCACATATTTTCAATGCCTCTAAATTAATGTGAAAGTATTTCTGGTTCTTCTTTTTTCCTGTCTCAGAGGGAAGTCCTTTCATGGAAAATATATTTTCCTCTGTATTGACCACTTATCTGTGACTGCTAGTAAAACTGAGATCTTCTAAAATTCTTTATCTTTTTCTCTTGAAAAAATTCTCAAAACATCTTTTTTTGGAGTATAAGCTTTCTTGTTTCATTAGTGTGACACAGTACTTGTTACTGAAATATTAAATGTTTGAACAGCTGTTTTGTCTAGGGATAAGGTGTTACTATCATAAGGGATTTAAGATGACAAATCCTTTGTTTGAACTCATTATCGTGGGGTTCATCCTTTGGCGGATTTATTTGTAAAGCCAGTCATAACAACTCAGTTTTTACCCCACCTTCCCCTAGAGGTGGTGCCCATGAAGTAGACACTATCTCCATACACTGGGAGTCGTACTTCAGGTCATAAGGAAGATTTAACTGTTCCATGGAATATCAATTTTGGTAGCTCCTTCTTGGCTCCAAAAAAATTGGTTTCCCTTACCTGCTTCAACTTTGCCTTAAGTATTTCCAGATTTCTGTCTTTACCGAGTTTAAAAGAATTTGTGTGGGGAAATGTAGAGCATTGTTTTTCTCTAGTTCAACTAGTATAGGTTTGTTTTAGGGTTGAGGAGGTTTCAGCTGAAATTTTTAGCTGCAAAACTATTATGGTAGTTCATTGGTGGAGATCAGGATGGATAGTGTTTGTCATATGTTTCAACACTGTATATTGCTGGTTTATGGGATCTTGGAGAAAACTTCACCCGACCCATCTCCAAGGAACAGTGTAACACCCATGGTTTTAGAGGCTTCATAACTTGAGGCTTCTTTTAGTAGAGTTTCCAAGATAACACCAAAGAAATATTACTCATGGCTGCATAATCAGTGGAGCATTTGTCATACCTCCCACTGTTCTAGAAAGCTTTCCTTAATGAGAAAGAGTTCCCTGGTAGAAGGTGTCTTGTTAAAAATGGGAAATATATCCTAAAATTCTCTTTTCTAACAGAGTTCACAGCCAAGCAATTCAGATACCTTTCATCCTCTCCTGGCTTATGGTTAGTCTGCTGGAAATTGAGACAGAATGGTAGATTGGTCTTAGAGTCAAGATGGTAGCCTATGGCCATCAGAAAGTATGTACTGACTAGGTAGGCGTGCATTCTAATTAAACCATCTAACTCTCGAGGGCAAAGTTTGCATCATAACTTTGCTCTTGTGAGGATGATGTGGTGAGATGGATTGATAATGAAAAGATCAATTTCCAGTTGTCATGGGGATAAAGCTTGATGGAGGAACACCCCTCAATAAGGCTAACATAGTAACAAAAACTACCTAGCTAGGAGCTGTGCTAGAAGATGTACATGAAACTATTAAATTTGAAATGAAATAGTGTTATATTAAATGTTACCACTTTTGGGGGTGGGAGGGGGAGGGTAATAATAAAAATTACCTCCCTCAAATATGACCAGAAATTTTACTTGAAATTCTACTTACCGTATTTTATAGCATATAAGACGCACCCCCCATTTTAGCAGGGAGCATTTAGGAAAAACTTTTGTGTGTAATTTCAGCCTGTTGCCGTATTTTCTTAAAACAATATATACAGTACCAAGAAATGTGAGGAATAAACAATAATACCAATAAATAAGTTACAACAAAAACTACTGTATTGCCAAATCAGTAAATAAAAGCCAAATGAAAGTTTAACACAGTCGCCATTTGCATACACTCCCTGCTTCATCATAGTAACAGAGACCAGCTGGGACGCCAATTCTGTAGCAAAGCTCCCCACCCACTACACTCTTCTCCTGTTCCCTCACTGAGCCAACGAACTCAAGTGCAAAGAAATGTATATTCCATTTATGTTTGCCCTGAGGACAATTATTTCTTTTACTTTTTTTTTCACATTGTGTACAGTATATAGGATGGTGTGTGCATGTAACTGAGTAAAAATAAATGAAGAAAGTTATGTATATCTACCCGAAAATAAGAGTTGAACAACAACCACAACACCTCAGCCTGGCCCAGTAGCCTGATGGTTAAGTGACGAGTCTAACTTGGCTACAATGCCACCAGCAATGTTAACAGATGCAAATGGGAAAAGAAAATTATCTGTAAATCTTCATTTGTATCAGGAATTTGCAGTTTGAAAAATAATTGTTGCAGGTATAGCATTAATAGATTGTAATGTTTGTAGGAGTTCAAAAATGGTTACTGCTTAGCTACCTCTGAAGAGTTGGGTGTCTGCCGTACGGACATTAATCATCTCAGGTACTGAATACAGGGGGTCCCTGGGTTATGAACAGGTTCCATTCCTGAGAACTTTCTTAAGTCGGACTTGTACGTAAGTTGAAACACAAACTATGTGCATAGTATTGTGCTTACAGAACAGTGTTTAAAATCCCACTATATCATAGCCTAAGTCCTTATATCAATCTAAAATCACTTAATTTAAGACAAAACAAGAAATAGAATGACAAAATTCATTAAACGACAGTAAAAGAAATAAGTCCTCAGGTAAATATAAAGCTGTAAATTTCAAGTTTAACCTCGTTTGTATCAGCTGGCGTTCATAAGTCGGAGACCCCCTGTACAGTAGTTATAAAATGAGCTTTTATATGTACAATAATTATTTAAATTTTTTAATTAATAAAAAAAATAATAATGTGTTTTAAGTAAACAATAACATGTTTTTAATTGTTGTGTTGGGTTAGGTAGAGCTTAGCCTACTGGAGACAGCAACTGGGGGATTCATTAGCTTACAGGAGACTGCAGCTTTTCATATAGGACACAGGCTGATTTTTTAGCCATTTTTCAGACAAAAAAGTGCGTCTTATATGCTGTAAAATAGGGTAAGTACCTATAGTATATGATTACAGTGTTCATAGTATTTTTACTATTGAGGTTTAATTTTTCTGAAAGGAGGATCTGCACATAAGCCTGTTATTGAATTCAAAATATAAATAAACTAGTAGTGACTGAAGGAGGGTTTGAGAAAAACCCCATTAGATTCAGTAAAATTAGCTGATTTATTTGTTATTGCAGTTGTATATAAACAGTCTGTGACTGAAGCCATCAACCTCGCCTTGTACTGAATATGAACAGAATTGTGTTACATTAGGAAACACTGCATGGCCTTCTTGTAAAATCATTGATTTTTCTTCTTGCTTTGAGAGGTGTATATTTTAATTGACAAAATGAAAAAATTTAGTTTTCATTTAAAGTAGGGCATGGAACTATGTGTAAGGATTACTGATTACATTATACAGTATTGTTAAAACTGCATAAACCCAAAGTGATTAATGAATTACAGTCCTAGGGTAAGCCTCTTTAAGTGTTACTGACAGCACTCTTTTTCTGTGATATCATTTGCTTGAATTTAGGCAGTAAATATAAGTTTGTTAGTGTGCCTACACATCTATAAATAATTCTGAATATTTTAACATAAGCTTATGCTTACAATGTGGAAGGGAATTATATGGTGACTGAAAACTGTTCTGCATTCATCATGCTAAATACTATACTGTAACTAAATTCTTCATGCTTTACACATGCCTATTAGTATTTCTTCCAGCCAATAAGTATTAAAGATCACAAACTATTTCCAGCTCCTTGAATACCGGTAGTAACTAAAATGTAAAATATCTTTGTAGAATAATGTACTGTACCGTAGTTCATATGAGTATCAGGAATCCGAAAATCAATTTTTGGAAATATCCAATCTTCCAATGGATTTTCAGATTCGAAATTCCCTCCAAATCTCATCAGCTGATGATGCACTTGTACTGCCTACATTAGTCTTTCATCATCAAGAAAACATTGTGCATTTTAACTCGGAGTACTGCTTTTAAAATGTCTCAAAACAAAAGCAGAAGTGATGGCACTGAGTGCAGTAATGCAGAAAGAAAACTTAGTGTTTCATGTCATGGAACAAGTGGAAAGTCTCCAAATAAAATAGATAATAAAACTATATGACCACTATAGTGAAGGAGCCATAATTTATGGCTTAAAGAGGAAATGGGGCAAATTACTCTTAAGTTTAAGCTGAAAGCAAACCAGATAAGACCATGTGCAAAAGAAAATACCTCAGTGAAGCCAAAGTAGCCAGTGTGGATAAACTATTTTCCAAGTTTTTCAAACAGCAAGAATCACCTTAGCTCTCAGAGGCTCTAGCCAACTCCTCCCTTCACATGCTTCATCCTACCAGTTCATCATTCAACAGTTCACCTCTTAAGTTGATTATCATACAGTATATGAATAAAGAATAAGATGATAGAATGATGATACAGTATAGCATTTTGGTTTCCATATGCACTTGCAAGGAATAAGGAAAATTTTGGTTAAAATTTAATGTTTGGTAGACTGGCAGTGTGGGTTACAGCATGACCAACAGTGTTTATATTTGATACTGCTCACTGGACAATAGCACTTGGTGTATATTTAGAGAACATTCTAAAAATTACCTTTCCTGCAACAGTACTTATCTAGCACCAAAAATGAATTTAGTGAGGATGAAACTTCTGAAATAACTAAGCCAGCAATGAAACCACGAGATATGATAAATTGATAGTGTTGTATCAATTCAGCTTATGTGCCATTCACCTAAAAAGAGTTAACTACCGAAGTTGGTACATTTTACTAAACCATGCTCATAGCTGCAGACGTTGCAACAGCTGACCCCAACCTCCATCTTTTCACCATTCAGCACTTCAGCTCAAGTCAACTAGCTTATACCAGTGGTTCCCAACTAGTTTTAGCCATTACCCCAAAACAAGTGTGACAACAATACTCATTACCCCGACATAGGTTTGTCAACTGTTTATTTCCATACTGTTTTTGGTCTAGGTTGCTTTCTTCCTTATCAAGATTTGTATTTTTGGAAATAAACCTTACTATTTAATTTCAACTCTCCATTATTGTTAGCTGGGTTTTATACAGTGATCCCTTGGTTAATGAGCGCCTCGGTTAACAAGTTACCTTCCATAAGATTCTTAACTTCGGTTAACGAGTTTTTTTTACGAGCCGACCTCAACATATTTTCACTTGCATTTGGCGGTCCACCAGCTGTAGTATTAGTCCGCCAATACAGTAATCGGTTTTAGGGCTTAAATTCCTTACTATTTTAGTAAATATCAAGAATTTTATACTATTCAATAATTTTAAAAGTTTAATATTCAATTTTTTAGTAATTTTAACAATTATTGAACATAATTGAAGGTAAGGAAACTAGTTTCATGCGCGCCATCCAGCCTGGCAACACACCAAACAGGCGCCAGTCTCTGTCTTTTCAGTGGAAGTAACATCTTGCTTGAGACTCTCTTCAACTAAATACTTTTTTCTGTGTTTGCAAGCAAATTATTGGTCATTTTGAAATTTATTTTACATATTGACAATATATAATGCAGTGCAGTGTTGATTTAAAGAAAATAATCTTCAATTACACCAAGAGAACTAAAATTTTATGGGTGAAATGGTGCCATGGGGTGACTTCTCTTCCACCCCAATGCCTTCTCTTCTCCCTTCTCCTCCACCCCCATTCTAATTCCCATCATCATCATCATCATCATCATCATCATCATCATCATCATCCAGGAGCCTTCTACATACACACCTCAAAGTAAGTGTATTTTTCTACCATTTTTGTTGAATTTAGGCAATTTTCGGTGAGCTGGAACCAATTACCCAAAAACCCATTGAAACAATGTTTTCGGTTAACGAGCAACCTTCTAGAACGGATTGTGCTCGTTAACCGAGGGACCACTGTACAGTAATTACAATACTGAATATGAAATACAAGTCATTGAACTGACAAGAACTTTCACTAGTGAGCGAAATGGCACTTTAGGTTGGTGACCATTTCTTGAATACAAGGGGATAACTTGGTCTACCCTAGACACATTTGGTATCATTTTCAAGGTTCAATCTGTTTTTATCTCTACTATGGATGATCAAGAGGGCCGAAAATCCTACCTCACACAAATGTGTTGACCCAAATGGTGGGAGAATTTTTGTTGCGCTTGAACTAGTCAACGTAAATTCCCTGTTATCAATTGTCCACAAACACTACAAATTCTTTCAGTCAAATTTCATTTCAAGGATTTCCTCTGCAATTCCATTAAGTTTTTCAGGCAGATGTTCAGTGGGATATCTGAATGGACTCTGCACTCATACATAACTGACTGGATCAATGTCAGGGAAATACTGCTCCATCCTCAGACTCAGGCTCCTTAAGTGCGAAGCGATTGTATTCTACACATCACTCTAGCTCACAGAATCAGTGTCTTTCAAATGTTCCTCCAACTTTGGAAATGCAGCTTTTCTACCCATTTTCAGTGGTTATGTATGGAAACAAGAAGCAGGAAACATATAGCTATATCTCATAGGCTGTCATTACCCACAAAAATTATCCCCTTAAAAGTAATTTACCCCTAATTGGGAACTTCTGGCTTATATAATACAAATAAAGAATAAGAAGAGAATAATACTATGGCATTTTGTTTTCCATATTCTGGGCAGCTTCAGAGTAAATAAGGAAAATTTGGATCATTTTTCTGTTTGCTGGACCAATAGTGATGGGTTACAGTGTTTTAAGAGTGCTACCACTAGCGGGACGAATGTAATAATAGACCAACACGGTGAGTATTTAGAGAAGAAATTCTACACAGTACTGTACATTTTTATAAATTTGCTACACTATTTTCACCTGCAGATATCTCTAAGCTGGAACATTGGGTGCAGAGCACTTCTAGGAATGAGAGATTTCCAAGTAACGAGATGATTCTCTCAAAGCTTGAAAAAAAATCCTCCATCCCCGGAATTTTCCAGGTAATGGGAAAATTTTCTCAGAAGCCCCAGGAATTGCGCATTACATCAAATCTCGAACCCGTAAGAAATCCCCCATCCCCATAATTTTCTTGGAATTTTCCAGAATGATGCATTATTTCATCTCTCAAATTTGGAATAAAAATTCCCCAGAAAAATTTCTCAGAATTTTCCAGAAAGTGTTCCCCTTGGAAAATCGTTCCCAAAGCCGGAACTTTCCGGAAAATTCCGGCTTTGGGAACGATTTATTGAGAAAATTTCAGTTCCGGCTGCCGAATAGTTTGTTAAGAGGGATTCCGGCAAACCGAGATATTACTGTATATACCAAAATTGAGCTTAATGAATATGAAAATAGAGAAATAATGAAACCAGTGATAAAAAAGGTAGAAGACATTATTCATCTGGCAGTCATAATGTTTACTACAGCAGACAATGGAAGTGTGCCATGTTACGGAGCTCGCAAAGTTCTAATAATTTTTTTTCTTCTTATTTTAGTTATATTGTCATTGATAATGGCATCCCACACAATGTCACAATACATAAAGTTTCAGTGCAATTATTTTGCTCATAACTTTGTTAATATGTTTCTTTGTGCTATTGCAAATACTGGTATATGTATTATCATTTGTAATGGCGTTCATGCGTACACCCACTAAAAAATTATTCGGTTCCCATGTCATATTGTATCACGCCGTAAGGGTGCTGATTAATTCTTTAGTGGGTGTACATGATACTTGTACACATACACATGTATACATGCACGATACATACATGTACAGTACACCCAATAAAAATAATTCGGCACCCTTACGGCGTGATACAATATGACACGGGAGCCGAATAATTTTTTAGTGTTTGTACGGCCTACACCAGTGACCAATCACAGACCACACTGTCATAATAAAAATTGATGAATTTTATTAGATTTATACAGTAGTATACTGTACAGCTCCTCCCTGACTTACGACCACCTGGACATACAACCGCCTCAGTCATATCAAAATTTTGTCAAATTACGTATTTTCGAGTCCCAACGTCAGTGATTGAGCTGTGTACTGACAAAATTTTCGTTTGTAATTCACTTTAAAATGGCTGGCAAGCTTAAAAGTGAGAGTTTTGTGGCGCTGAGAAGAAAAAGACACACCCATTTTAGATTTTCTATGTATTGTTTAAAGTATTTTCGACTTAAGACTATTTCGACTTACGACCTGGATTTGGGTCCCTAACCCCGTCGTAAGTCGGGGAGAAGCTGTATATGGGTTCCTGGAGCAGATATGAAGTTTAAAAAAATTATCTACTTTCTGAAAACATCTTGGTCCCAAACATTTCGAATTCCTGATACTCAAGTGTACTGTATTGTGATCTGGACGAAAATGAGACAGACAATTGATCTTTTGATTTACTTTATTTTAGCACTAGCATGATAATATGAGATGGAAGTTTGTATAGTGTTTACTTTTTGAAGATTCTAGTATAAGTGCTGTATTTATGCAAAATGAACCGAGAACTGACATGCGCAGCTAACTCGAAGCATTTTGCAAAAATATATTTCCATTGAGATGTGATGACAAAGTAATTGTGATGTTTACTAAGCTGGAATATAATTTGTTATGTTTTCATATTGTAGTTTAATGTGAAAAAATGCCTGTGAGTTCTTCTAGATACTGTATGTATAATTAAAGTTTTTTGCTTTCAATGTTCTTAAGATGTTAATTTATTTGATATAATAAGGACATGACTGCCTGTTAAAAATATAAAGCAGCTCTCTGATAGTGAGTTGACCAAAAAACATCCATTTTGTGTCCAATTTTGTTAGGAATTTTAAGTTTATCATTGTTAGTAAACAAAATTAGAATTTTCATTTTGTAGCTGATTTTTTTAATTCACTTATAGGTTGTAATTTTTTGTGGATTTTTATGCAAGGCTGATAACATGTTCAGATTTGGAGAAGGGTTAACTGAATGTCAAGAAATACATAGAAAAAGCAATGCTACTGTATTTAGTTTTAAGAGTAATTCACATTTTAGATGAAGTCAAAAGAAATGAGAACAACATAGCTTGAGGGTTTTGTGTGTGTTCAAACTTATGGAAGGCTGAAGTAATCATCAGCATATATTTTTTATCATGATCATTACAATAGAGAACAGTATAAAGATTTAAATTTCATTTTTTTCCACTGGTATAATAATTTGAAATATTGACTTGTGTAGCTGTACAGATTCTTGGAGATAACTGGTGCAGTTTAAGGATGAAAAAAAAGGGGGGGTGGGGAAATATACCTTTCTAAGCTAAATCTAATTTCACCACTGAAGTTGTTTTAAGTATTTAAATCTTTATGATATGTATCTTTTCAAAGTATGAACCTTTTTTTTTTACAGGAAGACTTAAAGTAAAGTAAATACTGTAAGTGTGATGAGTTTTATAGATGCAATAGACTTTGGTTATAGTCATGATCATGAGAACCCAGTAAATGATTGTGACCTTTATAAAAATAGGGCAGATGCCATTCACCAAAATATAGAATTTTCTGTACATATGGACAATATTGCAATAATTGTTACTGCATAAAGTTTATACAGTCTGTGTCCCATCACTATGTAACTAATAAAGACATTTATACATACAGACTATATAGTACTGCAAATAAGAAAATGTGGCAATATGTATATTATACTGTATAATATATATATATATATATATATATATATATATATATATATATATATATATATATATATATATATATATATATATATATATATATATATATATATATATATATATATATATATATATATATATATATATATATATATATATATATATATATATATATATATACACACACTATTGATAAAATCACACAGGGAAAAGGGAAACGATGGAGCACCTTAGCTTTCCTCTTTATTCAGGACATCTTCAGAGGCAACTGAATTACATGGACAGAGAGAGGCTTAAATATGCATGGTGACCTTATGAAACTTTGAGGTCAGGTCATAATCATGACATCCACTAATCCGCACACCAACACACACGTAGAGGAGCTTAAGACGTGACTAGTCAAGTTAAGTCAGGTCAAAAACA